CCCAAAATGCACACACACTGCCTCCGCGTGCTCTTGTGCTTGAACTACCAAGTATTCCAATTAGTGGTGCACATAAAAAGGGAATATATTTCTAATTAGAAAGTGCAGCCCTCGCTACATGTGAAATGAATAAGGCCCCACTCAGGGGCATTCTGTAACATGATTCAGTGGATCAAAATAATATGTGATGTGCTTCTTTAGGAATAGCCATCTTAATGCTCAGGACATATCTCCTGGCTGAGCCATTTCATCTGGACTGTACCTCCAGCCACGAGCAGCATGGAACAAAAGCTGAGGAGGAGAAAAATACACATATGGAAATATCTACTCATAAACGCAATCAAACGCCCCTTTTGTCACTTACTGTATTGCCAGACGTTTTGTTTTCCTCTGAGAAAGAGCAGAGCACTTTTAGGGGCTGGGTGGTATTATTGGCTTTACAACCCCCCCTGGGAGGAGCGGCTGAAAAGTTTCTCTAAGAGTCACACGTTATGGAACCACAGGTTTTCATACACTAGTTTTAGCCAGGTGTCGTCTTTTCCTCAAGTTGTGCCATGAAGTGGTGGTGTGAAACTTTGTTCTGATGGGTGAAATGTTGGACCAGCTGTCAGAAAATGTCTGGTTCAGTGGATTTGTGGTCGGTGCGGCAACATGAAACCAATGACTGTGAATAAAAGACGTTATTACGCTAATGTGACTGAAAAAAGTTGCCATTCACCGACTTAAACATGATCTGCCTCCCTGCTCTCCAGATGTCATCACTTAAGCACAAATATACACTCAGCAGAAAGCTCACCTGAGATAATATGTTAATGACAACCCTGTTTCACACTGTTTCTGGTCTCAGGTTTCAGCTGAAAGCAGCACTCAAATAATAGCTGGCTGCTGCATCACTTTACACCTGCAGCCGTTTAGCATCACAGAATCACAGACAAACACCGCGGCTGTCATGGCAACTGAGGTATGTAATATTATGTTAAGTGAACCGACGGCGAGGCTCACGGCTCTGTTTGTCGCTGGCAACCTGTTTAATTGCACACCGGAAAGGAATCTTGTGACCCCAGCTGGGCCTTGAATACGGACGGCCAAGCACAACAGGCTACCTTATGAAATTAGAGGCTTTTAAAGAAGTTAATTGACTATACTACATAGGGAGGTGATACAGGCCCACAAATGCAGACACATACAGTGATGGAAACAGTTTGGGGTTTTTTTGTGTGTGTTTTAATCTCATAACAAGCTGAGCTGAGACTAAACAGCTCAAGTCTTCAAGCAGGAGCGATAAACACACTCTTTAAGATTTTCTCTGCAATCACCTCCAGGCAGTAATCCACCTCGCAGCTCGTTTTCAGCTTTCTACCGACTGCGCATTTTGGGGAGTAGAGAGTCTGAGCACACAGCCACCCATCAGCTCACCTCTCCCTTTGATTGGTCGCCATAACAACATCACCATGGTAATCAGCGTGCATTGACTTTGATTCTATTTATGTGTTGATGTCGGCTGACGTGGAAATCTCGAATGTGTGTGTTCTCCGCTGACATGCGCTGACAGATGATGGAGGAATGCAGGCTGTCACAGGCTCCTGTGTTTGGACTTTGTTTGCATGCAGAGATGCAAGCACGTGCACACACACATACCCCCCCCCCACACACACACACACACGCCACATCACCTAATTTAACACATCGGTAACAAATAACTTTGGCTGTCAATAGCAGGTGTACTTTCAAGACTTCTGTATTTAAACATAATCTTTTAATATACCACACATATCATTGCTGTCCAATGAATATCCTGTATCTCTAAATTTGGCTGGGATCATGGACTGAATTAAAAAAACACTATTATGTGAAAAATCATTGTCACAAAGTTGCAGAGAATGTTTTTTTTTTTTTTTACCTGTATATGAGTAATACCATAAACAGATAATCAGATAAATAAAAGACGAGAGTCACCGTGTTTTTTGAGCTTTTGTGTGTGCGTGCCAATGGAAGTTTGCAGGGTCTTTTGTCGGTCTCTGGTAATCGCATGTGTAAACAAACAAACAAACAAACAAACACAGGAAGAAGAAATAAACACTCTGCAACCACACTGCAAAGCCCAAAACCAAGTCGGAAAAAGTCAGAGAAACAGCAAGGCTACGTAGATGATTGATTCCATAAGTACAGAGTTTTAGACAAGATCCATGCTCCATGGGGTCAAAGGTCACAATAATCCCCACACAGATGTGATGCAACTGTAGATTCTCTGGGGGACAAAATTCCCCGCAAAGTGCTGGAGGATAAGGTATTGTAAATGGGACATAAACAGCTCCATGTTGGGGTCAGAGGTACCGTACCACTCATCACTTTTAGCATATAGGAGTCCTGCTTTCAGACACACTTTTTACAGTCTACACATGTCTAGTAGCATGTGGGTAATAGCCACCACATGTATGTGCTAAATCCAAGTCTTTCCAACCACTGTGAGTGCTTTACCTTCAAGGCGAGGTCAGAAAGT